GATTTCACTACCTTACAAGTCCTAAAACATCATTTAATCATAGGTAATCATCATCTATTATCATCCTATATTTCTACATCAATTATACATCATTTGGGCATCATTATTCATCTCTCAATTTCAATATTATATCAATTTCAAAAACAACCAGAAACAATTTTCACAAACCCAATCTCACATACCATCCATTATATACCCTATTATAGAGTCAGAACCCCACCCTTAACTCGGATTGGAGACCGCCCTATTCCACCGGTTGAACCTCGCTTTGCCATAGCTTTTCAACCTTTGCCTCTTCTTCCACTTCTCCTCATCACAGCAGCAACTTTACGTATTCTCTAAAAACACTCAAACCATTATTCTTCCTTTTCTCATAAAAACCTAATTCCTTCTTATTCAACTTAACATACCATATTACTATTATTCTTATTAGGCTTAATATTTACAACCCCTTTTTTACTGCTATCAACACTTAATTAAGCCCAACTATTATCCTTATATTATTCTAATAATATTACTAATATTAATCAACCGATTAATCAACCAAATAACAATTTGACAACTTTCATCAACAACTCACAACACGATAACCCAGCAACTTATCCCAACAACAATTAATTAGAAAATATTTAATTAAATAATTAATTAAATATCGGGCGTTACAGGATGCAATTCTCCTAAGTTAAGCCTCTTACAAACTGCCAAAGGCATTAGACTGACGCTAGCTCGTAGGTCTAAAAAGGCTTTGTCAACCATGTGATTTCCTAGGATACAAGTTATGGAAAAACTTCATGGGTCATTTTCTTTCTTGGAAAGTTTATTTTCGGAAATGAAATTGCACTCTAAAGGTTTAGGATCATCCAATCTATGTTTGTTAGTCATTATGTCTTTTAGGAATTTTGCATAAGATGGTATCTGAGTGATAACTTCAGTAAAAGGAATCTCCACATGGAGCTTCTCTATAACTTTTATAAAAATTTTATATTGATTATCAATCTTGGTTTGTTTAATACTTTGCGGAAATGGGATCAGAGGTTTGTATGGGGGTGGCGATGTATAAGTTTTATCTTTAGTTTTGATTCCTGGGTCTTTTTTCTTTTCAGGTTCTTCTTGTTCCTCTACTTGGTCCGAAGGCACTACACTTTCCTTGGGTTGTTCGGGTGCGCTTAATGTTGGGTATGTTGGCCCATTGTAAGCAGTCCCACTTTGTAAGGAAATGACATTAGATTTCCCTTTGGGATTCAGTTGAGGTTGTCCAGGGAATTGTCCTCCGGGTGTAGTTTGAGGAGCTTGTGTCTGGGCTACCTGAGAGATCTGGGTTTCAAGCATATTTTATGAGTAACTATCTGGTCAACCTTAGTTCCTAATTGTGCGATTAGTTCATTCATATGAATGTTCTGATTCGGAAACTTTTTATTTTGATGAGTTTGGGCCGAAATGATTTTATCCATGATTTTCTCAAGGTTTGGTTTTTTTGGTACAACTTGCATAGGTTGATTTGGTCTTTGGGATTAGAAACGTTGGGGTCTCGGAGGCGCAGAATTATGAATTGGGTTGTTGTTTTTATAGTAAAAGTTTAGTTGATTCCTCCATCCAGGGTTGTAAGTGTTCGAGAATGGGTTTCTTTGGGTATAGTTGACTTGGTCTATGCTAGATCCATTCAACAGGTTACAGTCTGAAATTTGATGTCCTTGGGTCCCACAAAGTTCACATTCCGAGTGTACTGCATCTACAGTGTTTGGGCTCTGAGACATGTTTTCAACTTTTAAGGTAAGAGCGTCCATTTTGACTTGCACCATGTCCAAGCAACTTATCTCATGTACTCCTCCTCGGGCCTCCTTTTTCTCTACCGTTTCTCGTTCTTCTCCCCATTGGTAATGGTTTTGGGCCATATCTTCTATGAGAGCACAAGCTTTAGGGTAAGGTTTGTTCGTCAGTGCGCCACCAGCGGTAGCATCGATAGACATCTTCGTGTTATAATGGAGTCCATTATAAAAGGTGTGGATAATTAACCATTTCTCCCGTCCATGATGTGGACAAGCTTTCAATAGGTCTTTATATCTCTCCCATGCTTCGAAAAGTGATTCTCCTTGGTTTTGAGTAAATCTAATGATCAGGTTTCTAAGGACTACGGTTTTTCTTGGCGGGAAATATCTAGCAAGAAAAACTCTCCTAAGGTCTTCCCAAGTTGTTATCAAATTGGCTGGAAGGGAATCTAACCAATCACGTGCTTTATCTTTGAGGGAGAAGGGGAATAGTATTAGACAAATCGCCTCAGGTGAAGCACCATTGGTCTTTAGAGTATCTGCTAATTGGATAAAAACTTTCAAGTGTTGATTCGGGTTCTCTGAGGCGAGACCAGCGAATTGATTTTGTTGCACTAATTGTAATAATGAGGGATTTAGTTCGAAATTATTGGTGGTGATGGCAAGGTTTACTATACTTGAACTAGGCTCATCGTCTGATGGTTGGGCAAATTCCTTAAGGGGTCTTCAGTTACGATCTTCGGCCATAGTTCTCTTTATCCTATGGAGAAAAAGACGTGCTCGAGTGTAACATTCGGGTTCCACTAAAGGATCTACTAAGTTTTCGGTACTGCGATTCTTGTGCATTTACCGGCCAATAAAGCCTTAGTCTAAACGGGATAACAATAGGGTACAAAATTTGACGAAGTTTGGTCCCCGGCAACAGCGCTAAAAACTTGATCAGTCTGTTTATAGAGTCTAAAATCTAACTGCAAGTACACAACCTATCGAAGTAATATAAAGGATTGTCGAACCACAGAGACCAATTCCAATCTATCAACTCTATTGTTAAGTTGCTTATCTAGGGAAGATCAATTCATTTGAGGGAGTATAATGCAAAGGAAATAAATATATAAAGTAAATTCAGACAAAAGACGGGCTAGAATGTAAATCACATTGGTCAAATAGCATTTCAATTTGTATTTAATAGAATTACACATGGGGTAATATTTTCTACTCTTGTAAAGAAACAATTTGATGGGAACTTGTCGCTTTCGCTAACTAAGAACCGAGTTTACTCTCTAGTCAAACCCTTCTATTGTCACTTATAAAAAGGCGCTTCAAGCGCTAAAGCAGTAAACCTATTTTTAAGAAATTAGTTTCTTAACTTAGTGAAAAAGTGGTTTCAACTCGGAATGATTGACATAAAGAGATTCTTGACTTTCGCTCGAGAATCAGATTGTAAACCTATAAACGCGTCCGAAAATAGTTTCAAAATAATTTTCTAAAAGTGTCAAAGATCCATAATTACCCAATCAAACGCTTTCTCCCTTTTTGACCGGTTAAAAACTAACCAAGTTTGTTCTTTGAAATGGACGGCTTTCGATCTTATCCAAAAATATTAAGTACAGAAAACTTGTGTTAAAAGTTAAAACAACTCATAAAGTGTTTCTACTAATACGGTGTTGAAATGATATCAAGACAATGATCCTTACATTCCAACCTTAAAATATTTAGCCAGACATGAAAATAAAAGCAAACATACTAAAGTTGTTCGAAATAAACATAGTAATAAAGGCGAGACAAGGTAATAAAATAAGTAATGTAATTGCAACACAAAGCGATTAAATAAAATAAAAACTTAAATAGAAACTTGCTCCAAATCGAAGTCTTTAAATCTTGGTACAGCTGGAAAGTAAATGCTTGCAATAAAATGGCGGCAAGATTGTAAACAAAAGATGCTCCAACCTAATCAAGACTATGGTGCAATAATCCTTCGATATGGTGAATTATTGCTTTTACACAAGTGAGTATAGGCTTAGCGTTGCAAGACTAAGTTGGATGATAGAAAATGAAATGAAAACAGCTATTTATAGAAACTCTCCAGGCTATGCTTTGACAGAATTGTCCCCTAACTCCTTTTGGGCGGGAAGAAGGTTTCCAAAGACTGCGGGTGTCGAGGCCCCTCCGCGGGCGCGGAGTGTACAAATAGAAAGAGCGTGGGGGACGTGGCAGTTATCCCCTGGGTGAAGTGGGATAAGTCACGGCGCCCCATATAGCGGCCGCTGAGCTGAACGCCATGTGAATGATTTCTCTGAAAAACTCAATTTCTTAGCCTTTTCACTTGGTTTCTTCACGAAGGGCTCCAAATAGACATGTTGCCTGAAAACAAGACAAATACAAGCATAACGTAAGAAAATAATACTAAAAATAATTATAAAAAAATATGTATCATTTGAGTCAAATATACAGTGCCATTTAGTGTTATCAATAACACATAAATAATAAGATTATAGATAGCATATTGTATAGGGGGTGACAAAGTACCAAACTTAGAGGTCATATAGCTAATATGATGGTGTAGTCTTGGTTTTTTTTTTTGTTTTTATTTGCCTTTTTGGATGGTTGAATCTTTGGAATCACCTTATACCCTTTTGTTTTTGAAATTATATATATATATATATATATATATATATATATATATATATATATATATATATATATATATATATATATATATATATATATATATATATATATATATATATATATATATATATATATATATATATATATATATATATATATATATATATATATATATATATATATATATATATATATATATATATATATATATATATATATAAAATGATAAACTATTGATTAAACTATAATTTTGACGTCAAAATTATTTTAATGACTTAAAATCTTTTATATATAAGATTTTTGTTAAATATAAAATAATTTAATTCTAATAATTATATAAGCGATTGTTAATAAATAATTTATCAACAAATTTTTAGTGGCAATCTAATTTTTTTATTACAATTTTTATAAAATAAAAAATTATGTGAAATGGTTAATTTCCATTGTTATTTTAAGAATAGAGAAACTATTAATTCTTTAATATAGATTCCATGGTGACCGACCATTAGTTTTTTTATATAAACATCAAAGAAACAAAGTAAACTGCAAAACCCTATTCATCTAGGCTCTTCTAAAAGGCACATTGAGATTGTGAAATCATTGATAATGACAAATTCAGATATTTGTTTGATTCCTGGCAATGATGATGAGAAACTTCTTATACAATTGGAAGTAATTAATGAGGAGCTGCAAAGTGCCAAGCCATGTTCCATTCAAAAGATTGGTGATGATGGATCTATATTGCACTTGTGTGTTAGATATAATCATTTTGAGGCTTTGAAATACATAGTGCAATCACTGAGTGGATCCAAAGAGCTATTGCATGTTCAAGACAAAGAGGGTAACACCATTCTTCATTGGGCAGTTAACCTCAAGCAAATTCAGGTATTCAACTTACCAAACTTAATTGAAAATTTAGTTTTGTTTAATAATTATTTCTTTTTTTACATATGAATATTAAACTTAATAAATTCGAGACCAATTCTACCTAAACCAAATATTTGTAGAGATATGTAAGATGGAGACTTTTGAGGAGTTCTACCCACTTTTCTAATTTAATAGAATGGAATATTAAAATGATTTATATTTTACACCTAACTGATTTTATATCCAACCGAGCGAAATATGATTTGGATTGTTTTAACAGGGTTTCATGTATAGTCATGTAGATGAAAAAAAAATTATGATTGGAGGAAGAAACCCTAACATTTTTCTAAAAATGATTTATAGTATTATGTATTTTTATTTTAAATAATTTATAAATAATTTAAAAAAAACATTAAATAAATTTTTTTTAAATAGTTTTCCGTAAATAATTTGTTATAATTTTTTTAAAATATCAAAATTTCAAAAGTCATCTAAATTTAAACTTATTTTACATAATTTTTCATAAAAATTATTTAAAAAATATCTTTTAAAAAATCATGTAAAAAAATTAAATTTATATAAAAGTATTTAATAATACATATTTATGTTACTTGGTGTTAAAAGTAATTTTTTAATTTTATCGAATGAAATCAAAAGTTTTGAATAGTTAAAAAAAAGTAATTTTTTACTTTATAAAATCATGAGTTCAAAATAAATTTTACTATGTATTTTAAAATTATTTTTAAAGATATTAAAAAACTATTTTTTTTTTTTAATTTTAGGCTAAATTACGGTTTTTATTTTCTATGATACATTCATAGAATCGATCTATCCATTTTATTTTTAAACAACTTTAGTCTTTATTCATAATTTCTGTATATAAAACACGTTGTGTAATTTGTTTTTATTATGTGGCTTTTATTGGATGACGTGTATAGTTCAAAATGGCTAATCACATTTAAGATATTTTTTTTATATTAATATGTTTATTAAATTAAATAAAAATAATGTAAAAACCTAATTAAAACAAGGAATTAATATAAATATATTTATAGTGTAAAACAGTTTTATACTAGTGAGATCATAATTGCTATTTTTATAGAAGTTTGACTTTTTCTTTAAATTACGTAAAAAAAAAGATATTCTTTTTAAGGATTGTAATGCACTGATCGTGTAATACCTTTAAGCTCTTAAAACAAATAAAACTAACTTCTCCTAATTAAAATCCTAATTAAAACAAATAAAATCTAATTAGATGTGTTGGAACATGTCCATGTTCCATATTGAATTAAAAAAAAAAAATTCATTTAGTCCCACATTGCTCATGTGAGAAATATTAACCATCTCACTTTATTATATAAGAAAGTCACTTGTTTCCTTACAAAAAACACCAAAAACATTTTATTAGTTTTTCCTTCATCACTCTCATAACTCTGCGTCTTTCGAATTGTCGAAGCGCCAACTTCTTCCCCTTTCTTTCTACTCGTTGAATTTTCCGAGTATTTTCTTGAATTCTCTTTATAGAGAATAATGTTAATTTCTCCTCGTTTGAGTTGAGAAATTTTCAAGTATAATTTTTTATTCTCTTTAGAGAATTATTCGAATTTCTCTTTGTTTGAGAAATCTTTGAGTGATCAAAAATGATCATTTTTGAATTCTCTTTGAAGAATTATTGAAATTTCTCTTGGTTTGAGAAATATTTATGACTGGTAAATATATCAGATACTACGGTGGTATTTATACCATATTTGAATGGTCTTAGTACCATTAGAGGGTGTATTTCTAGACCGATTATCTATCATGCAAGTAGTAATCGTACAGTATAGAACTGGGCTGTTTTATCCTGGAGGCGGCGTGGTAGTTCGACTGCTTTGCATAATTTTGGGCAGTACCGCGAAACGTCTTAAAGAGAGCGAACTGATCCGCGACTCAACCCGGTAATTTCTTCAGTGGCAACATTTTTAAAATCATGAACCAACAATTTTAAGACGCTTCAAACTGCCATGGCTATTGAAGAAATTATCGGTACTTCTAAGATTGTCTCGGACAAACCGTTCTAGTTTGAAGGAGTGCATTTCAAAAGTTGGCAACAAAAGTGAGGTTTTTCCAAACCATAAAGAAGTTTGTCAATATTTTGACCGATGACATTCCTACTGTACTTGGATCAGTTGAACAAACGAATAGAAAGAAATCTATGAACTTAGATTGAATTATTAATTTCAATGAATCTGAATTTACAACATAGATTAAAGAGAAGGATTTACAGCTAAAGGAAGAAATCTCCTTATAGAAAGAGAATGATTATAACATTCTAAATGGACTCGCAAATGATCTATATGATTATTACAATAATTGTGATACTCCAAAACAAGTTTACGAGGCTATGAAAAACAAGTATTGAAGAAGCTGGAGAACAAAAGAATGATTTTAGCAACTACGAAAAGTATCAGATGGTAGATGAAAGATCTGTGGATACTCAAAGTTATGAACTTCAAAAAGAATTCTCATGAGGTCATCACTAAAGGTATGTATTTAGATGTATTTTTTAGAATCTGATTATTCTCCTTGAGTTAAAAAAAAAGAGGAATCTTAGAGACAATATCAAGAAGAAAAGTCTTGGTTGTTTTAAACAACAAATAAAAATTCGGTGTAGTTCTGAAGCCATTTGGAAAATGATTAAAGAATCAGAACTGCAATGTTGTGATCCGAATTAAGAATGAGATCCTTTCTATGGTCTCAATTGCTCCAACTAGGCAACAATCACCACCTCAAAGAAATGATGTTGTTTTCCATTGTTTTAACCATGGAAAATCATGTCATAAGATTAAGAAATGTAGAAGAGGCTTGAACCTGGTGCTACCCCTAATGCATAGGTCAAACTGACTAATGGGAAATTTATTTCTATGATAATTGAAATCAACACGGTTGATGAATTTGATGATTGGTGGATAGACACTGGTGTTTCTCATCGTGTCTGTTATGATCGTGTTATGTTTAAAACATACACGAATACTAAAGATAAGAAAGTGTTGTTGGGATATGTCCACACCACTAATGTTGCTAGAATTGGAGAAATGGAGTTGAATTTCACCTCCAGAAAGACTTTAATCTCGAAGGATGTCATACATGTTCTTAAGATTAGGAAGAATTTTGTTTCTGGTTTTCTTTTATATAAGGCATAGTTTAGTCAGTCCATTGGGGTAGATTTGTACACCATTACAAAGAATGACATTTTTGTGAATGAAATTGATATGTTTAAAAACTTTGTAAAGGATTTAAAAATCAATTATTAAAGGATCTGATCCCCTAGACCTTGTACACTATGGTATATGTGAATTACATGGAATTGTACATGAAATGACTGCACCATACTCTTTTGAAATGAATGGTAAAGCAGAAAGAAAGAATATAACTCTTATTGAACTTGTTGTTGCAATTATATTAAATTTTGGTGTTGCTTCTCACTGGTGGGGGAAATTTTGTTGACTATTTGCTATGTCCTGAATCGAGTTCCCAAGTTAAAAAGTAATATCTCTCCTTATGAGATATTAAAGAAAAGACAACCAAAATTGTCTTATTTAAGAACTTGGGTTTGTCTGGCATATGTCAGAATTCAGGATACGAAGCGAGTTAAACTTGCTAATAGAGCCTATGAATGTGTGTTCATTAGGTGTGAAGCAAACAGTGAGGCATATAGGTTCTATGACCTAAATGCAAAAGTGATCATAGAATCAAATGATGTTGAATTCTATGAAGAAAAAAAAAATTCCCTTTCAAATCGAGAAATAGTGGGGGCACTCAATCGAGTCACATTCATGTGATAAGAAGCACAAAAAGCAACGACGATGTAGAAACAGAACTTCGAAGAAGTAAAAGAATAAGAGTTTCTAAAGACTATGGGAAGAATTATGCGACCTATAATGTAGAGGAAGATCCAATGAATCTTCAAGAAGCCTTGTCATCTCTGGATTCAGATATCTGGCAAGAAGCTATTAATGATGAGATAGATTCTCTAGAATCTAACAAGATCTGTCACTCAGTAGACTTGCCTCCTGGATGCAAACCAATCGGTTGTAAATGAGTTTTGAAAAAGAAACTAAAACCTGATGGAACTGTTGATAAATACAAGGCTCGCCTTGTAGCCAAGGGTTTTAGACAAAGAGAGAATATAGATTTCTTCGACACTTTTTCTCCGGTCACCAGAATGACATCCATTAGGGTACTTATCTCAATAACTGCTATTTATAGTTTAATAGTACACCAAATGGATGTTAAGACAACTTCTTTCAATGGTGAATTAGAAGAAGAAATCTATATGGAACAACCGGAAGGCTTTGTGATCCATGGACCAGAAAACAAGGTCTGTAAGTTAGACAAGTCTTTGTATGAGCTGAAGCAAGCTCGGAAGCAATGACATGAAAAGTTTGACAACTTAATGATATCAAATGGGTATAAGATGAATGAAAGTGACAAATGTGTTTATTACAAATATGAGAATCACATTTGCACTATCATATGTCTCTATGTAGACGACCTATTCATATTTGGGTCAATCATTCAGACCATCAATGAAGTGAAATCATTGTTGTGCAACAACTTTGATATGAAAGATCTCGGTGAAGCAAGTGTGATCCTTGGTATCAAGATCACGAGATCAGAACAAGGCATCTCCTTGGATCAATCACACTATGTGGAAAAGATCTTAAAGAAGTATAATTACTTCGACTGTAAACTTGGGTGCACACTTTATGATCCAAGTGTGAAACTGTTTAAGAACACTGGTGAAAGTGTTAGACAAACAAAATATGCGAGCATCATTGGCAATCTTAGGTATGTCACTGATTATACTAGATCCGACATTGCATATGCAGTGGGATTATTGTGCAGGTTTACGAGTAAACCGAGTTACGAGCATTGACAAGCTATTAAGCGAGTCATGAGGTACCTTAAAAGGACCATATATCTCAGTTTACATTATCAGAAATTTCTGGCTGTACTTGAAGGGTACAGTGATGCAGATTGGAACATATTATTAGATGATTCCAAAGCAACTAGTGGCTATGTATTCCATAGCTAAAGGAGTTGTATCTTAGAAATCAAGAAAACGAAGTATCATGGCTCATTCCATAATGGAGTCTGATATGATAACGTTAGCGATTGCTAGTGAAGAAGAAAGTTAGTTAAAATATGCCTGCTAACTAAGATTTCCTTATGGGAAAAATCCATGCCAGTTGTGTTGATCCACTGCGATAGTACCGTGGCTATTGCAAAAACTGAGAACCATTATTATAATGGTAAAAGACGTCAAATTAGAAGAAAGAACAACACTGTTAGAGACTATATCTCTAAAGGAGTTGTAAGAGTGGATCATGTACACACCGATGAAAATTTAGCATATCCTTTGACGAAAGGATTAGCTAGAGAGAAAGTCTATAATATATCATGAGACTAATGCCTATATAGAAATGAGTTTCTCATGATGGTAACCCGACCTAAATGACTGGAGATCCCAAGAAATAGGTTCAATGGGTAATAACAAGTTATGAGTAATATGAGATTATCATGCAAGTAAAGCATGAATCCTGAAGCAATTAGAGGATGAGATAATAGAAACTCTTAATGAAATCTATACTCTGTATGAGGGAGTACATAGGCTACAGGAGTACTCTTGATAGACTCACCTATGTGATTGTGGAACTTAGGCCGGTTCCTATGGAATTTCGAGGCAGGATTCCTAGAGCATTCACTAAACCGGGATACACGTGCAGGGCCATTAAAGTACGGGCTATTAGAATACACCTTAAGAAAAGGTTGTGTGTGGGTTTGATGTCTGAGATAGAGTTCAAGACATTTGTGTCACTCTTGTTGAATCGGAATCCTACTTGCTATGCAAAGGTTCAAGTCGTAGACACCTTTGTTTATGCACAATCTTAGAAACGTTTGACGTTACTTCCAAATTCACCTTTTTAAATTCAAGTGGGGGATTGTTGGAACATGTCCATGTTCCATATTGAATTAAAAAAAAAAATTCATTTAGTCCCACATTGCTCATGTGAGAAATATTAACCATCTCACTTTATTATATAAGAAAGTCACTTGTTTCCTTACAAAAAACACCAAAAACATTTTATTAGTTTTTCCTTCCTCACTCTCATAACTCTGCGTCTTTCGAATTGTCGAAGCGCCAACTTCTTCCCCTTTCTTTCTACTCGTTGAATTTTCCGAGTATTTTCTTGAATTCTCTTTATAGAGAATAATGTTAATTTCTCCTCGTTTGAGTTGAGAAATTTTCAAGTATAATTTTTTATTCTCTTTAGAGAATTATTCGAATTTCTCTTTGTTTGAGAAATCTTTGAGTGATCAAAAATGATCATTTTTGAATTCTCTTTGAAGAATTATTGAAATTTCTCTTGGTTTGAGAAATATTTATGACTGGTAAATATATCAGATACTACGGTGGTATTTATACCATATTTGAATGGTCTTAGTACCATTAGAGGGTGTATTTCTAGACCGATTATCTATCGTGCAAGTAGTAATCGTACAGTATAGAACTGAGCTGTTTTATCCTGGAGGCGGCGTGGTAGTTCGACTGCTTTGCATAATTTTGGGCAGTACCGCGAAACGTCTTAAAGAGAGCGAACTGATCCGCGACTCAACCCGGTAATTTCTTCAGTGGCAACATTTTTAAAATCATGAACCAACAAGATGTCTTGTTCTCACTATTTCATTCCATCTTTTTTCTTCTTTCTTTGATCAATCGTTCACTAAATTAACTTCCCCCTTCTAAACTCTAAAAAACAATTGTGTCCATCATTTGCTTCATCACCTCTTCATCTTCTTTTAACATTCATTTCAAACTCTAAAGTATGGGTACTTCTAAAATAGTAAAGTATCGGAATCGGGTATGCACCCGTATTAGGTACATGTATCGTACTCGTGGTACTTTATTTTTTTTATTATTTGATTTTGAGTGAAATTTATAGTTTTCTCAAATATTAATAATGTAAATTTTGGTATTTTAATTTCTTTGTTATTGTATTTTAATATTATTTATGAAAGTAGTATAGAGAGTAAAAAATAATTTAATAATCTTTAAAAAATGATTTCAAATCATAGTCTTTAAATTAAATCTAATCTAATAGTTAATTAATTAAAAATACAAATTAACCATTAGATTAGATTTAATTTAAAGGCTATGATTTGGAACTAAAAATACTTATTCTTGAAGTAAGTTGATCCCTAATGGCATTTGAAGGTTTTAATGAATATAGAATAGGGTCCCAGAGAATATAGATATAACATAACAAAAATAAGAAAGACAACTAAAGTCAAAACCCAATCAAACAAATTGAAACAACTTTTGTAAAAATAGAAAATCAAAGCAAGACACCCCAAGAGATAAAGACTAGATCTTAGTCGAACGAAGCCAAAATCTACATAAAAACATCCTTTATGGGCACCACCAAGAACTCTCATTTGCAAGGTCAAAGACATTTACCCCTCTACTGGCTCAAACAAATAATAAGATTCTTAACCCAGGCAACAAAAAAAAAGCAAAATGTTCTTGTACACGTACCGATATATCATTCCAAACTAAGAAAATTATCTTATCTTTTACATTATTCACGCTAATAGAGGAACCTGAAAAAACAATATTATTTTACAATTTTCATATCGATCAAGTCAGATCATAGACAAATCACCCCTCACCTTAAACTTACTTCTCAACCATGTAAATACCATAACAATAGTAGTAAGATCCCTAGGAAGAACGCAACACCACCAAAATCATCTAAAAATCATATATCAAACAGATGTTACCAAGTCACGAGGACACAAATAGATAGATACTTGACTATGTATACCATCTACACAACGAGCAAGAAATGTCCTTAGGATCTACTAACACCCTACACTTAAAAATGTTATCTCTAGTGTGGAACTTCTCTTGAAAAAGTTTCCATGAGAAAACTATTATTTTAGAGTGGGCTTAACTATCTCAGATAAGAGGAAGAATCAAATTCATAAGATTAACTGGCAGAACACTAGGAAAGTTATACTCAAGGAGCTCTAAGTAAGTTGATACAACATGTAAAAATCCATATTTTGAATGACACCAACACCATATATCAAGAGCCAGGGAGAAGGTTACATCCCAAATAGCTAACAATAGATTAGAGATAATTTCTTGCCGATAGTCAAAAAAGGGCCTTTTTCACTTCAAGTCCTAAGTCAAATTATCATTTGTATACACTCATATCTGAATAACATACCAATCTTGTTGATCAGAGATACTAAAAATACTAAGGATCCAACCCACAAATCCTTATAGAAAAAGTTGAGGAGGTCTAATCCCACTTCTTACTAAGATTTACCACAAACCAATTGAAAGAATCCTTAACTTTGGAACCCATGCAAGACACTTCATTCCGCCACGAAGAAGCCGAACGAAAGCCAACAAACCTACCACCTAAAGGTGAGGAAAAAAGTAGGGTACCGTATTTGAAAAATAAGTTATCGCACCATAGGCTAGAAGCGATGGGGATAAGCTGCCATCTCCACTTAGCAAAAAGGTTCAAGCTAACTAAGTAGATATCTCAGACTCCAAAACCACCTCAGCTCAAGATAAACTTGAGATGAGGGTTGAACCCTACCAATAACCTTAGATATTTGAAGGGAATGATCTCTAAAAAATAATGCACTTAATATTAATTAGACATCATAATTGGAAAAAAGACTAGTGATTACTTACACACATGATATTTCTTTTTAATAAAAGATTAATTCATATTGTATTTGTTTCGGTTTCTAAAAGTGATTTGTTTTTTTTTCTTAACTCTTCACAGACCATAAAATTCTTGCTTTCACTTCCCGAAATGAGAGCAACAATAAACACTTTGAATAATAGAGGTCTCACACCTTTGGATATAATGAACAACAACTCTTCAACAGATTTCCTAGACATTGTAATCCAATACATTTTAATAGAATCAGGAGTCCAAAAAACTTGTACAAATGTACATTCTAGTAATTCTCATGAATCAAATCAATCACAACAATCCAATAGTAAAATAAAAAATTGGGAGAATTTCTGGTCAAAGTATCTACAACATCAAGGTAATTGGATAGAAGAAACACGTGGCACATTGATGATTGTAGCAACTGTAATTGCAACCATGACATTTCAATCGGCATTAAATCCACCAGGTGGAGTATGGCAAGAGAATACACATAGAGGTGCATACACATGCAGAACTTATGACATTTGCAGAGCTGGAACTGCAATTGTTGGTTATGATTGGTCACAAGCTTATGTTATATTTATGTCTTTTAATACTCTCTCTTTTTTTGCTTCTCTTTGTGTTGTGTTGATTCTTATTTGTGGTTTTCCACTTCATAATAAGGTCATAATGTGGATATTAACAATTGCAATGATTATTGCGGTTACATTTATGTTGCTAACGTATATGTGGGCCATTGGATTGGTTACACCTGATCATATTTATTATAATGCTTATAGATTAGGGTTTATTTTAGGTGGTGCTTGGGGTGTTATACTTCTTGTTGTTGCTTTGATTCAAATTGTAAGGTATATTTTCTGGATAAAGGAGAGGAAGAAGAAGCAGATGCGCATGTAAGAAAACTTTTAAATTATGGTATGCAATCACACACTTGTGGAAAAAATACCAAAATTTAGAGGACTTCATTCTTCACAACTATATAATCTCAGTTACAATAGTATCTATTATGTTTGCCCGCATTTTATTACAACATGAAATTCACATTGTAACCACAATAAATAACTATTGACGGGAAATGAATGTGTTATGTTTCTTATATCAAGTACAAAAGTATAAGTTATTGTGTTTCATTTACCCAATTTATTTATGTACTTCTCTTAAAATTTGGGTTGATATCATCTTTTATTTAATTTGAAACTTCAAACGCACCACCACTCCAAAAACTGAACATCTGGATTATAACAAGAGTGACTTGTTATTGAAAATATCATAGAAGGTGATCCAAAGAATTTTTTATATAATCTGATATCATTTTAAAATTTGGATTAGGCTAACTCAACCTTATAAAATTGGACTGTAAGACGTGGTTTGTCATCACTTACAAATATATATGTTAAGATTGTGTCTTATACTTTGTAGGACTAATAAGCCCTCACCACATTTATGACTATGCATTTGGAGCATGGCCAAAATGGTGTGACAGTGATAGTTGATAGCATGTGTTCTAATAGATTTTAGATATACTTTAATATTGTATTAAAATTTGAGTTATACTTAATTCAACTTTACAAAATTTCGTGAATAAGATGATTTATGTGAGATTCTTAACAATTTTTTAAAAAAATCCTAAAAATCGATACTACAAATTCTTTTTAAAACTAATTGGTTGACTCATGCCATGCACAATATATATACTACTTTAAATACAAATATTTGTATAAAGAAACATTGAAATATAAAATATATTTATGGAACATAAAGTTTTTCTTAATGATAAATATATATATATATTATATATATTTATGGAACATAAAGTTTTTCTTAATGATAAATATATATATATATATATATATATATGTATGTATAATAAAGATAGTCACAAATAAGGAACGAGAAAAAAAGCAGAAAATAACGAGTTAAACAATCAACACAAGGTGTGTTGAATAACCCAACCAAATAAAATAAAAGCAAAACAAAAAACGGAAATCTCCAGTTGCAGTATCCTAATTTTTACTCCTAAGATCGTATATTATGTTGCATTATTTTATATCATCAAGATCACAAACATGGTTGCTTCTTAACCTTTATATCTCTAAGTTTTGCCTTTTGTAGAGGTCATCAAACACCCTTTTGTGTATCTTTCTCTTTTGTGTTTATATAATTTATGTTATACTAACCACTAATAAAAATATCAAAATTATGATTTATTTTCTCTTGTTTATTGTGCAAGGTAGATCTTGAATCAAGAGCATCAAGCATAGTTCGCTCAGCTAGGGTTTGCTTTCTCAAAGTCAAAGTATGGTCAATCATTGATTCGAGTGATTTTTGCTCAACTTTCCAATATCATACCCCTCTCAATTCTCAACATTGTTGAGTGATCTTTTTTCTACTTATCATTGATGATGTCCTCTACAAGTTTTCTTCAAGGATCAAAGTCCAATTATGCTTGGAAGACCATGAAAAGTATTGAAACATTACAAGTCATTTTGAACTTAGAAATTTCAAGACTTCCATTTTTCAGGTTTTTGTACCAATTTCAACATGTCATAACTTTTTCCACAAGCATGAAAATTTAATCTTTCTTGGAACATTGTACCCTTTTCCATGAAGAGAGTATATTGCAAAAATAATGGAATAAAAAAGCTTCTTGTACTGATGGGCATACAACTTTGAAGTGGCGTGCACAAAACTAAGTGTTTGCTCTATGATCATATTTTTACCTTAACTTAAACTTGACTACATGCCAATTTACCACGTGTTATCCATCTAAAAATGTTTAATCAAGTGTCCAAAAGTTAAATGACACTTAAAACATAAAGTTTAGTGGAGTTTTGGTGCACATGAAGTCACACAAAAATCACTCATGATGCAAACTTGGATCACACGATTGAGCCACAAATTCACACATATGAGATCAAAAACCTTCATCCTATAAATAAGATACTCTACTCTTCATTTTCAAGCTTTTAAGAGCCAAGAAACCTCTTCCAGAAATTCAATTTTCTTCCAAATTTTGTGAGATCGTGAAACTTCTACAAGCTATTTCAGAGAGAATTCTTGATCCATACATCTACCTTAACATTTCCTGAAGCTAACACAATCATCCTCAAGCCTTCTAAGCCTCTGAACTAATCTAACCAAGTCCAATTTCAGGCACCTTTTAGCATACTTTGTTCAGGTAGTTACAGACCTCCATTTGCTTCATTCTTGATACCACAATGTAGTAATTGATCTTTGATGCTTGTGCTTGCTTCAGTTTTCACTAATTTTTCTTATGGATCATTTAATTTTAAAATCCATTTTCAAATTAGTTTTTATGTTTTCAAAATTGTGCTTAGCTCAGTTTAAATAAATTTCAATGGTGGACATGGTTGAGATGGTGATGAAGAGACTATCATAATGGAGATTGTCTCAGCTTCTCATGTTTCCAAATGCAAAATCTCATATGTTGAATGGCCGAAGAAGACACGACCGCAGAAAATCCATGGCTATCTGAGTTTGTTTTCACCCTTGGACCAATCATGTGATGACAATTGTTTTATTTTTATTGGTCCTTTCAAAATCAATTCTCTGTGTGTTTGTTGACTCGGCTGCACAATGTGCTTGTACCTTTGGCCCATTAGATCTGCCACGTCAATTAATGAGGCCAAATCTGTTGGTCCAGTCTTTTTCTCTTCTTTTTTTTTTTGCTTTTGAAAATTGATTTTAAATCCTTTTTTAACTAAACAAATTTTGAAAAAATTCATAAAAATACTTTGAATTATTTTTCTTCTAATCCATATTTTTTCACAATTTTATTTTATCATTTGCTATTTTTCAATATTTTCTTCATTTTCCTTGCATTTTAATTGGTTTACAACTATTTTTATACATTAAAAAATTCTGAAAAAATTTGTGAATATTTCTTGACTTGATTCTGACTTGTCTTGATTTTATTAGATTTTTGTTTGGTGTTTGAGTGCCTTTGTGTATTTTCATCCATTTAATTCATTAAACATCAATTTTAATTTCATTTACTTGTATATATTTTAATATTTTTGTAAATATATTTTGACTTGCCTTAGATCTTACCTCAATTGGTTATAAGTTTTATCAAACTCAATAAATCTTAGGTGTTGACGGGGTGAAAAACCTTAATCCACTAAAATGAATGGTTGATTTTAATGATGACTTGATCAATGCTTTGGAGACCTTGGAGCCTTCATCTGAGACCTCAGGAGTTTCATCTGATCATTGAGTTTTATCTGTCTGTCTGTCTGTTTTGGTGTGTTTTATCTAATACAGAAACTTTCATCTGAGACATCAAGTTTTCATCTGATGTATGAGAATTCATCTGCACCCTTATGATTCATGTGATGTTGAGCTTGCACCTGAGACACTAAATTTTTATCTGATGCTTATATTGTTCATCTGATTACTTGCTTTTATGCGTGGCTTAATCCAAATGGAATGGATGCATGGTTTGACTTATGTTAAGATGATTGCTCTAGCTTAGTCAGATCTCTTCTACCTTAAATTTTACTTTATGCTTTAGGATAGTCCCTTCATCTCCTGTCAATCTTCTTCAATTTTCAAAGCTTCTCTCTTTTTTCAAAACCTTCTTGTTTTCTTACACTTAAACCACTTTCATTAAAAAGCTTGACTTTGTCAAGTGCACTTTCAAACTTATTTTCTTAATAATTTGCTAAGACATCTTAAGCATATTAAAACAATTTTAAAAGACTTAAAAAAAACACATAAACTCATTCAAACCTTTTTGCCATTTTAACTTTTCATTTTAAAAATCTTTTCTTAAAGATTAGACATGAGTCCTCTTCATAGTTGAGATATAATTCTCTTATTCTCATAATATTGATTGATACGATGTTGATTCTTTTCCACTTGAAAGAATTAGTGGCATACTTGTTGATTTCTATCCAAGTTAGAGCCCTTCTTCCATTGTGATACAAAGGTCCATCTTTCTCATGTTTATGAAGGATTAGTTGAGTATTCTCCTTAAGATGACAAAATTTCTCTTCATTTAAAATCAACCAATAAACTTTGTTCCTTTTTTAGAAGAACTATGAGGTTCTGATTTCTTCATTGCACATTGGAGATACGTAGGCACATAACTCTTGAAGTTTTTCCGAATCAAAATTATAAAAACCATTTATTTTCTCATCAATATAAATATTTCTACAAACAGCCAATTTTAGCCAAGCACACAGATTTTCAAGAGGTTCCCATGGAATACCATGAATGTTTAGGGTGCTAACACTTTCCTTTTGCATAACCAACCCCTGAACTTTGTTCTATTTTGTTTTATTAGTTTTGCTTTAAAAAATTATATGGATTTTATTCGCTCTTTTCTCATTTCTTTGGAAATAATAAAGTGAGGTGGTGACTCTTGCTTTGTGAGTTAAGTTAATCAATAGCTTAGTCTCAGATTTTCACCGCTACACCAGCAACACCCGCACTTAGGAAATAAATGTCTAACAACCCCAACACCACCCGTGGATACCAAGCTAGAGCCTGTGAAGAAGAACCACCATCAACAAAACATCAACCTCAAAAAACACCTTAAGACCACAACCCCAAAAGAACACGTGGAGACTCTCATAATCGTTATTGTCTCAAGTATAGGATAAGATTAGCAAGCTAATTATAAAAAATACAAAGTAAGTTGATGATATACCAAGATATCATTTTCAAGCAAGAGAAATGCTTAAATCTTCCATGTCATCATCGTTAAGCAATTTACATGTAAAAATAAAACCGTTTCAGAATTTCTAATTAGTCCATACCAGTAAGTGTCAGATCATGGTAAACCTTCCCTTAATCCTAACCGACTCCAATAAAGAAGAAAAAAATATAAAATTGCAAAATAATACATCTCAGAAATACAAATAACCTCCCAT